CAAAACATTTTTTAATGCAGGAATAAGAAAGCTTGTTGACAGATGGACCAGGTGTATTGAAAAGCAAGGAGATTATGTGGAAAAATTATGCATTTATCTTTCCTAAAAGTTGATTAAAATAAATTCTACAGCCAGAGTGCGGAGAATTTTTGACTCACCCTCGTAGATATTAAAGCCAAACTCTGTGAAAAAAATGATTATTTACACACCACATTGCATGTGTAAAAATTGTGTTATGTGTGGAAGTTGGCTGCACAGTATAATCTTACCTTGCATTATGCCATCTCCTACAGATAACACCGAGCTTCTGGAAACTGTGGGGGGCGAGAGATGCAGTGCAGGCAGTGAAGGGCTCTGGTCGCAACACCCACCCCTTCTCAATACTTGCCCATTCACAAAATGCCTTTTTTTTCTCAAAGAATACAAGACATTCTGTAATTGGACGAGGAGAGGACGGGGTGGGGATGTGACATCATCTCTCCTTCTCCATTACAGATTATTGCGTGAACTGATTGATGAATGGTGGAGATCATTCTGACAGGAAATTAGGGTGGTCTCAAGATAGCTGCTGCTGCTGCAAAGGGCTGTGTTGTGAAGATGCAAGTTTCCAGGGAATCGAGAGTAATATATTTTAACACAGGAGAAGACTTACTACAAATGTGGGGTGTAGCACCCCCTCCTGACCCCCAAAGGGCAGAGAGGGCTAACATTTCACTCTCACGGGCAGATCCTTAGCCAGTGAAGGGACATGTGATCAAAAAGTTGGGAGCCAGTCACTTTAAGTGCCTCTTAAATGCTTTATTGTAGAACATCAGCTAGGAAAGAGGGTATAGGGCTTAGGACATCCATAGTAAAAATAAACAGACTCCAGTCTCGCCAATTCCTTTTCAGTCTTCACACAGTGAAGTATCAATAGGAGAACAGGCTGACACTGGGCAATTGAGCAACAGTTAAACAGGGATAGGCATGAGATCTTCTAGGAGAGACACCAGACTTGCTCCTAAGGTCCATATCAGTACCAGGCACCGCCAGTAGACATCCAGCTTCTCTCATTCCCCTCCTCAATCAGTTCCTGACAACTCCAAGGTCCACATTTGTGGCATCCTCCAGGCTTGAGGCCTAGTCAGCATTTCCATCTTTGAGCATCCCACCCCCAGGTTAAGCCCAGGGGCGGACTGAACTAAGCACATGGCAATTCATCTATATATGCACTCCACCAGTGGCCATGAAACCCCCAGTGATTGGCTGGTGAGACACTCAAAATGCTCACCATTGGCTGCCCCACACTGCAGGGTTACTCCCCACTCAGGCAGGTACAATCAATAACAGAACTGTGACGACATGGTGATGAGTTTATACGTTAAATGTGTATTGGTGTTGGGTTATGTTTGAGTGCGTTATGCTGTGTGACCTGGTTATGGAAAGACTATCAGCACCATCCCTCGTTATCTCCCATTGTTCTCTGAAGGAGCTCAGAACAATGATATTCTGGCCAGGCTCCTGCTATGGCTGTCTGGAGCAGGTGGGCACCTGTGGTGTTGAGCAGACCGATTGTCTGGGAGGGGAGGGTGGATGTGATGGGATTATATTCTGATTTAATCACTTGCTGTATAAAAGTATGTACAGTTGCTGAATAAAGCAGAGTTTGTTTCACCTACACTCAAGCCTTGGCTAGTGACTGGGGAAACTGGGAGCTAAGGATCTTCAGGTTGCAAGATCTCCTCAGCAAGGAAGAAGACAGCGGCAGACATACTCATCCTGGAGTACGGGGGTCCGTCACAAGAACACCGTGGAATTAACGAGGTAGTAGTCAAATACAAATCAGCTAGACTGATTACAGTACCAGCACAGTTACATTTCTAGTAGCTACTCCACAGGGGATAGAAGCGGCTACAGGGGAAAAAAAAGGTAAGGCTGAAGTTCAGCTTTAACATTTCCAGAATGGTGAATGTGAGGATGTCCTTAGTACTAATGCTTTAAATCATTAGGTTTACTATATGCGAGAGACATCAAGGCAGCTCACAGTGGGTGTGTTCGAGATACCTTTCCTGCAATGCAAACAAGGTTCTCTGATCACCAGAATACCAACAGAAGACAGTGGGCTGCGCTGGCAAAGTCAGGATTTAAAACATAAGTACATAGGTTCTGTTCCCTCTCTGCATTTATTGGCTTGAAGCTCATCTTTTTTTTTTTTAGTTTTGGCTAGAGTGAAGGTGAGTTAGAACCCCTGTCTGAGTTTTAGTGTTGTCTGGATTCTGTTGATGACAAGCAGTGCCTGGATAAAAAAAACTGAAGGTGTGAGTAGGTAAGATGTGCTTACTGTATTCATTTCAAGCTTAAATCAATCCTTTTGCTACGATTATAAATATGGCAAAAGTCCCCCAGACACTCATACCTGTCTGGGGGACAGCAACTTCAATCTTCACCCTGTTCAAGAGCTACAGGCACAACTGCTATCCAACACTTCCGGGTGTGTCAGACTCTGTTTTCTCCACTGGGTGCTGTGGATCATCCGGACAGTTACTTTGTCACCACAGGACAAATCCCACATAGCCCGACAGGACACAGCTGGATGCTCTGGGTAGCAGCAACAGCTCTTGAACAGAGTAAATATTGAGGTTGCAGCGCGCTAAAGCAGGGGTAGCCAAACTCCGTCCCTCCAGCTGTGGTGAAACTACAAATCCCATGATGCATCTCTCCCCGGGAGTCATGTCTGTGCCTGTGAGAATCTTGCAATGCCTCATGGGATTTGTAGTTCCACCACAGCTGGAGGGCCGGAGTTTGGCTACCCCTGCGCTAAACAGATTAAGCATCAGTAATGTTTTTTATTTTTTTACAGGGTGCCTCTATCTCAGTATTTTTAACTCAGTAACAGAGCCACTTTACTTAAAAATATACCCATAACCAAGAAGGAGGCAACAGAAAATCTTCTCATGCGGACACCTTTTCTGGTGACCACTGTTTTACACACACACACACACAGCTTTCTGTCTGACTCTCAACTCCCCACTCCTCTCTCACCTGTGTTACCTTTTTAACAGGAAGGGCTGTAGGGGAAGTACCTGCCCTCCCAAGTTAACCCCTTCTTTGCTCTCAGCCATGCTGACTCTCCACAGGTGATGACCCAAAAACTCTTCAATTCACCATCTAGGCATATCAAATATGCGCGTTTGTGGTAAAAACGTGCGACAAAGGGCTACTTGGCATTTCCGAGGGCTACTTGGCTGTATCCCAATGGAAACGCGCAACAAAGACGCCCCAAAGAAGCTCCTGTACTTCTTTTGGCGTAGGGCGTTTTGTAGCGTGTTCATCCGGCCTGTAATACGTCCAGGTGTCAACCATACCCATAGGAAATAATGGGATTTCGGTGTTTGAGCGTTTTGCAGAGCGTAGGAATGCGCTACAAAACGTCCAGGTGTGAACCGGGCCTTATAGCTTCCATACCCTGAGGAGGTTTTGTTTGAATTAACAGATGCTTGATTGACTGCAACGGAACCTACTAATACCAAAAGTCTACTTGGGCATTGCCCACTTGCATTAGCCTAATGGTGTATTGAACATTGAATTCCACATGCTATGAACCTACATGGGCGTCGTCCGTTATAAAGGTTTGATAGAGTTTGTATGAAAACATTGAACTTTACAGCGAGCGATAGGTACTATCAATGTGACAACCTTGTGGAACACAGGGGTGTATGTTTTCTCTGAGAAGTAGTCATTGTGACTGTTTTTTCAAACAAAATCCCCCTTGTGGCACAATGCGATATATGACAATTGAGTTGATGGCCTCCAATGGATTGAGGGGCGCAGCTTGAATTTATATTTTTTTTTCTTGGACTGTCCGCAAGTTTATTTCAAGAGTTTAGGTTGGTGTGATGGAACCGTTATACCTCCATTCAGTCACTGCAGGATTGCAATATACATTGAGATTCCTCTTACATTAATGGAGTGGCAAGGTTTTTTGTGTGCATTTGGCTTGTGTGACAAGTTTTATAAAGTTTTCAAACGTTATTTTTTCCATGTATATACAAATAGAGTCTAATGGATTGTTATTTACAGTACATGCTATAATATATCATTAGACTTTGGATATATATAGTTTGTTAAAACAATAAGATCTAGGAAATTTGAATTGTGTCTTCTGCAACATCCAAGATAGACTTCTTGACAATATTTTGGAATATAATGAGGGATCCTGATACCTTTTTTTATGGTATTCTACTATTGTAAGTTTTTGGGGTCCTACATATTATATGGTGGGTTCGTTGCATAAAATGTATATGTTCTACATGCATATACTGTACATACAAAAATTTTGCTTTTTATCATGCTTCAAGCTCTTTTAAATAAGTGTATATGTTTACCATTCATAATCCCCCCTTCCCCTTGGTGGGGTAAGACTAATATATATTTTTTCAATAAAAAGTATTTTTTTTTATTTTACCAGATGACATTCCACAAAGCTTATTTAGTTTTTTTGTTCTTCCTAAAATTCTTAAATAAACCTTCTTCTTTTTTAAGAAACACAAAATCATCTTGTGAGTTCAGCTGTTCACATTTAATCATGTTGCTGAAATAATTTGTAGTTACATTAAAATATTAATATCGCTTTAAAAAAATCTTCATATCCTTTAGTATAAATATAGTGTCTGTTTAGTAAGCATGGGATATAAGATAAGTAGCAGTGATAGACACATTGTTAAGCACGCTATTATATTTTATATTTGACTCATTTAGGGCAAAGTAGCAGGTTTGGTTTAGAGCGGGAAAGGTGAAATAAATATTACAATTGAGTGCCCAGTTGTCACATGGAGGTGCAGTTCTTTGGTCTGTGTAAGCTTCAATCCAGTGAAGAGTTTGGGCCTTACACAGCAAATTTGCAGAGGATGCCAATGGACCTGGGTTGGCAGTGAAACTCAAAGAAGGGATGTGTGTACTACCCTCCCTGCTCTTAAGCAAACGTACCTGTTGCTTTGCCCTGAATTGCTTTTAGAGGGTTTATAAAGGCAAGTTAGAAGTTAGAGAAAAGTAGAAGTAAAAATACAATCAAATATTATTACATAGCATCACACAGTAGATAGTCCTAGGGACCATTGGGCAAATTTATGCTAGTTTTTGCCTTGGTGGCAGTTAGTGCTGGTTTTTCTGCAATAGCAAATAGCATTGAAGAATCGGCAATAACAAGTTGCACACGGACTACAGCAGGACAGGTGACCAACGCAGGATTCGTGAAGTTGAACACACCTCCTTGGAGAACGCTCTTCGCGAGAGGAAACCTCCAGAGACAATGCCTGCTGTAGAGAAAGTAAAAAAGTTGCGATGAGGAGCATAGAAGATGAACTGATTGATAACTGTGGACTTTGGCAGAAGGACCTGTGTGCAGGGGAATATCTGTGGGATGTCAAATGTGCTACTCTGTCTTATATTGGTCATGCACTGGAGGTTCTGATTTTCACACATGAATGAGCAAACATTTAGGCAATTCCTTTTTGCTTTCCCTAAAGCAGGGGTAGCAAACCTCTGGCCCTCCAGCTGTGGTGAAACTACAAATCCCATGATGCATCTCTCTTCGGTAGTCATGTCTGTGGCTTTGAGAATCTTGCAATGCCTCATGGGATTTGTAGTTGCACCACAGCTGGAGGGCCGGAGGTTTGCTACCCCTGCCCTAAAGGGACTCTGAGACATCTTTTGGCAGCCCATAGACAAAATGACTGCAATTCTGCCAAGATCGCTTGTATTATAGCATCAATGGCTGTACCGGTATGGCTAATTTGAATCTTAGCATTCTTTTTAACCCACTCATTGTTGTAAAATACATGTTTCTGCTTTATTGAAACTTACAGTGGGTACAGTATAAATGCTATGTACTTATAGTATATAAATTGGCTTTCAGTCATTTTCAATTGTTGACATGTTTACACTTAGAGTTACACTTAGACAATGCTTCCTTCATCTGCTGGTCAACTATATAAAGCTATCATATATAAAACTATATAATATATGTAAATTATATAAAGCACAAGGAGGACTTCAGCTATGAGGAAAGATTAACTGAACTGAATATATTCTCCCATGAGAAGAGGCGATTAAAGGGGGAAATGGTCACCTTCTATACATACAAAATGGTTTACATTAAGAGTAAACTTGATGCAAAGTTGTTCACTTTAAGGTCAGTGACAATGATTAAAGGAGCACTATGAGGTGAGTGCTTTTCACTCACCTCATAGTTCTAGCCGATCTGTGACAATGAGACTGTCACAGGTTGGCTCAGTAGATCGGGAGGTGAGCGAACACATACCGGCGTTCACTCACCTCTCCATCCTGTCACAGCTCTCTGCCGTGACAGGGGAGGGACTGGATTGCCCCTCCCCGCTCCGATCCGCCAGCGCTGACTGGCGGAACGGACGGGGGAGGGGGGCGGGTACAGCTGGCTCTGCCTCTAGATAGGCAGAGCCAGCTGTCAGTCACGCAGCTGGGCGGATCCCGGCACAATTGTCGGGATCCGCTTCAGCTGCGGCGTCTCAGTATACAGCGAGCAACAGCTCACGGTATACTGCGGCGTCTCAGTATACTGAGCCTAGGGTGACGGGAGGACGCTAGTTTGTGTCCTCCCGCTACCCTAAGGAGAACTATGGGGAAAAGCCTTAACCCCATAGTTCTCCTTTAAGGGGACACTCTTTGCGTCTGGAGGAAAAAGAGCCCTGAAAGAGCTATGAAAATGTGGTATAGACTTCTATACAAGTTAGTTGTAGCCAGCAGTGTAGAGTGGAAGTTTTTCTAAATACAATAAATACACTAAATATAAATATAACTAAATATAAGGCCTGGTTCACACCTAGGAGTTTATGAGCAGTTTGAAAAGCGCTTTTAACTGCTCAACACAAGAAATCCCATGATTTTCAATGGCCCTGGTTCACACCTGAGCAGAAAAACGCCAGTAGAAAAATTCCATTTGCTCGAAAAGGTACAGGAGCTTCTTTGGGCAGTCAAAAGCACTTTTTTACCCCACAGACTTAACTGGAAATGCCCCAAAAACGCACAACAGTATCATGTTGAACATTTTCATGAGCGTTTTTGCGCGTTTATACGCGCGTTCTTCCACTGCCCACAATGGTTTATAAGCTGCCAATCAAAACGCGCATCTTCAAATGTGCACAACGCGCATACATGCGCAAATAACAGCATGCTGTTAACGCATGTATACAGAAGCAAAAACGGTGCTGCCTAGGTGTGAACCCAGCCTAAGAGGTATTGTTACTCCAGGGAGTATCCAATTGCCTTATAGCAGCCATTCTCAACTTGGGTTCCTGGTTGATAGGAGTTCCTTGAGCTGTGGAGGAATGACCTTTCATCTGATGGTGCTTGCATACTTCCAGGGCCAACGGCACTTGGCAAAGCCAGCAGGATGGCACCAATTATTTTTTTAGCTGTCTGTAAGGGTTGCATTCCTCCAAATAACCACCAGTGTAGGGGGAATGTTTCCTATTAAATAGTTTTAGTAAGGGTTCCCTGAGACCTGAAATTATTTTAGGGGTTCCTTCCTCTTATTTATTTTTGTCTTTTGCTTCAAGTTTAAGGATATGTTGATTTTTTTAACCCGGCTAACTATGTAAATATGCTGCTGTTTTCCATTTATTTTGGTGTTATTCAGCTCTAGATTGAAAATCCATTGTAAACCTTATGTCAAAACAAGAGATCAACAGAAATCAGCTTTTGAAGACCAAGTATCGTGTTTTTTTGTTTTGTTAAATGTGAAATGCCCTTTGAACATGACAACTGTGATTGTGAAGAGGGAAAGACTGCCCTTAGGAATATGTCTACTTGCCTAACTGCAAATCTGTCTTTATTCTTTATGGCAACCATTCCGTAGGATGACCAATAGGAATACTTGTCTTAAAATATTAGGGATGGATGCTTCATATATTGATTCTCTGGCTTAACAAAAAAAAAGCACCTTGTGACTTTAGTGTGTAGTAACATGGATAGATATTTAACAGGTACATGTTTTATTGGTGAGCTGCATAATGTAAACAGGATAAGGTACTTGGGAAGAGGGTCCCTTTAAGGTTACTATACTAAGGCCCCATTCGTACGGGGCATTCTGGGACTCCTGTGGCAAGAACGTATGGATCCTTGCGGCAGGAATTCTAGGTGTCTCATTGTACCCATTGAAGTAAATGACATAGTACACTTACATGCGGTTTGGAATAGATGATTGTCCCTGGACACATCTATCCTACTTTAATGGGTACAGTGGACGTGTCTGAAGAGGACACCCGGGATTTTTGCCACAAGAATCTGTAGGTTTTTGCTGCGGGAACCCAGAATGCCCCGTGTAAATGGAATCTTAGGCATAAGGAACATCTACCGTATAAAATGTTCATAGCAAAGCAGTGGATAATACACAATATAAGGTCCAAGTATATAAAATTACCCTTGTGTCCAGCAGACTGTAATCCTCCATCAGGTCTTCCTCAACTGCTCCCATGTCTGTTCGAAGAGCCTCTGATCGGGCTAAACTTCCTGAAATGTGCAATTGTATTATTTTAGCAAGATTTTATAATGACATTATGCTAGTAGTTTCCATGAAGACAGAAATGTTTAGTAGCTGTGTGTTTTAAGACCTCTTGTTTTATAGGTTATCCATAAATATTGGGACAAACATACCAAAAATGAAATGTCCAAAGCTACTAACAATAGTTTATGGATCAAAATACAAATGTGTCCAAATACATTTTATACAACTTTCACCCAGGATTCACAAATGTTTCCGTTTGAATCCAACTAAAAATAGTTATTCAGCTATTTTGGATGAAAGTTATGTGAATACTGTGTGAAAACCTTTATATACAGTATACTGTATACCCCTAAGTATAATAATAATCTGACACATGATTATTTTTTTATCAGTGTGCGATAATACTAATTTTCATGCATCCACACATACAAAAGTTGCATAAAAATAATGAATAATGTGGATATGCTCTTTCAAAACTGCAGATAGTGGAGGCATAGGCAGCCGGAGAGTTCAGTGGAGGGGTGGGGTTTCCTGTTAGGTAGGAGGGGGGCCCTGTCAGGTAGGTTGTGAGGGTCCCATAATCCAATTGTGTCCCTGGACTCAAAGTGAGGCAAGATCCAAAATTTGGAATGGCCACCAGAAAAGGAGATGACTGGACTCTTCAAATGGGTTACAGTGACAACTTTCAGGGAGGGGATTTTGATTTACTTGGAGAGGTTTCCTCTTACTTTCTGTTATACCTGCAGGACAGGAAGTGAAATAAAATCTTCCCAGAGGGGCACACATATAAAAAAAAATTAACCATTCTCTACTCCTGTTTCCATCAGTTTTTGATCAATTTGAATAATATTTATGCATTTTTGTACATTTCAATTGTTTACTTTTCGCAGTACATTTAATTTCAGCTGCAAATGAAAGATGCACTATATTGCCAGAAGTATTGGGACACCCCTCCAAATCATTGGATTCAGGTGTTCTGTGAAATTTCCTTGCTACTAAATATTCCGCAGTCACATGTTAGTGGTATTTTAACAAAGTGGAAGCAACTGGGAACAACAGCAACTCAGCCACGAAGTGCTAGGTCAAGTAAAATGACAGAGCGGGTCAGCGCATGATGAAGCACACAGTGTGCAGAAGTTGCCAACTGTCTGCAGAGTCAATAGCTACAGACCTCCAAACTTCGTGTGGCCTTCAGATTGGCACAACAACAGTGTGTAGAGAGCTTCATAGAATGGGTTTCCATGACTGAGCCCCTGCATCCAAGCCATACATCACCAAGAGCAATGCAAAGCGTCGGATGCAGTGGTGTAAAGCACGCCGCCACGGGACTCTAGAGAAGTGCAGACGTGTTCTCTGGAGTGACGAATCACGCTTCTCTGTCTGGCAATCCGATGGACGTGTCTGGGTTTGGCGGTTGCCAGGAGAGCGGTGCTTGCTGACTGCATTGTGCCAAGTGTAAAGTTTGGTGAAGGGGGGATTATGGTGTGGGGTTGTTTTTCGGGGTTGGGCTTGGCCCCTTAGTTCCAGTGAAGGGAACTCTTAAGGTATCAGCATACCAAAACATTTTGGACAATTTCATGCTCACAACTTTGTGGGAACAGTTTGGGAATGGCCCCTTCCTGTTCCAGCAAGACTGCGCACCAGTGCACAAAGCAAGGTCCATAAAGACATGGATGAGTGAGTTTGGGGTGGAGGAACTTGACTGGACTGCACAGAGTCCTGACCTCAACCCGATAGAACACCTTTGTGTGGAATTAGAGTGGAGACTGCGAGCCCGGCCTTCTCGTCCAACATCAGTACCTGACCTCACAAATGTGCTTCTGGAAGAATGGTCAAACATTCCCATAGACACACTGCTAAACCTTGTGGACGCCTTCCCAGAAGAGTTGAAGCTGTTATAGTTGCAAAGGGTGGGCCAACTCAATATTGAACCCTACGGACTAAGAACGGCATGCCATCAAAGTTTATGTGCGTGTAAAGGCAGGCGTTCCAAAACTTTTGGTTATATAGTGTATGTTTTGTGCCAGAAACATAATTTTTCTGTCTTAAAAAATGGGAGAAATTACAATATATATTATATAGCACCCTACTGTATGCATGCCTTAAAAAATATATATATACTACCAACACTTCTGGGGTTGTCAGTCTCCTGGGTCCCCTGCAGCTTAAACTGGTTCCTCCCTCTGACCTCCACATTACTACAGTATCTTGTAGTGGATAAAGGACAGCAGGAGGTACTAGTGCAAGCTGCATAGGACCCAGAAGACTGACACTTCGAGAGGTGTTGCTTTACCTTTGGACTTCGGTAGAAGATTTCTGTGCACCAGAGCAGCATTCAGCGGCAGTGGGCAGCAAAAAGATAACTATTTACAGCCTTTTTTTCGCTGCTTTGCCATGGTTTTAAATATTTATTATAACGACCAGATCTCTAAATAAAAATCTTGCAAAAAAATTTAAATTAGAAACTTTCAAGTAAAGATTTTTTTCCTTTTTAAAAAAGTTTTCTATCTCTTACCTGGTACAACCAATCCAGATTCCTTCACTTTACGTAGTAAACTCGGATAGTTGTATCTGCCATTGCTATTGCCAGAATTGATGTCTTCAAAACGCCCATTGCCAGAGCCTGAGGTAAGCATTGCTTGAATTGCCTGGATAATAGCTAGACACAGCAGTAATGTATTCAGCATCATGGCTGGAGAAGTCTGCACAATACAAAAAAATATATCCTCAATATAAGCAACAACCAAATTGCAGCAAGAAAATAAAACATATATATGTTCTGTGAAAACCTTACATTTACCATAGTTGTATACTTTTTATACTAAGGTGAATAATGGCAAAAACATACTTTTTAAATATATTTTCTTTTCAGACCGTATGTATTGTGATGTAATACTTAATTATAGACACTAGATGGAGCTGAAGGACATAGGAAATTAAGTTAGTAGTCGTAATACAGTGTTACTTGAGTCAAACGTAGAGGCTGGCACTACATTACTCTCATTCTAAAAATACTGGTTGCCTGGCTGTTATTCTAACCAACTTGCTTCAATAACAAATGAGTCACCAATACAGAATAAGTATTCGGCATCACATAATAGAAAAATAAAGGCTTTGATAACTAACCGTTTTACCCTCCTATAGCAGCCAAGAAACAGTTTCAATTTTCAGCACTGATCTCAGGCAGGAGACAAATCTGCCTCCATAGAGACCTTACTGCTTGACATTGGGGTGATCTTTCTGCTCTTACAAGAAGAGAATACAAGTGAATAGCAGTACACATCCCTATCCTTGAGAAGGCTGTACTATTATAATAACTTAAAGGGAAACTTAAGGGGTTTCTCACTATTGAGCAGTAGGATACAGCCATGGCGTCGGCTGATCCTTTGGCTCTCTTCGGCCACCGGAGCCCTTCGGTTCAGTCGAACCGAAGGGCTGCCGTACACAATTCACAATAGCCCGTACAGCATCCGAAGGCAGCCGAGCTGAAGGCATATGCTTCAGCTCGACTGAGCCGAAGGGACAGCCAAAACGTGGCGAACAGCCTGCCGAAGGGCTGTGTTTGCAACTATCTGACTATTATCCTATTTGGTGCTTCCAAGGGGAAAAAAAGGTCCTCTTTGGGATTTGTATACCATGCATTTACATTATGTTCCTATTGATTTGTACAATAGGGTACAGAAAAATAAAAATAAATAAAAAATATTAAACCACCGTGTTCCAGATCCTATGCAAATGCTGCACAGGCACATACAGAATCAGCAGCAAGACCTAAATGTCAGTTTACACAAACCCTAAAAGTGTGTTTTTTCCATGGCTGCATTTAAGTTTCTCCTGGGTGTGATACTCACACATCCTATTAAAATATAACACTAAATAAAATATAACACATTGAAATCATATATTAGTTTCTGTGTAGGGAGGAAAGCAACTGTCATAATGTGAACGATATAATATTTATGAGCCATAGGCATTTTAGGGTGTTTTTGGGAAATATATGATGATGTCTTCTCTACAAAATATATTAATAGTGCTCCTGTTCTCAGATTATGGACACAATTATTTACAAACTCTGAACAAGCAGTAAAAGAGTTTTAAAGCAAACCATCTCCTGACCTATCTAGCTGTTTGTAGTATGAAGCAATTTGTTTCGCAAAAAAAGGTACTTCTGCCTTTTTTCTTTGATTGCTGCTTGGATGTCACCCCATTGAAATCAATGGAGCCAAGCGGCATTCGCTGCCTGCATTGCCGCGTGAGCCCGGACACCTGTCCCGGGTGTCGTGCGGTGTAGCACATTTTGTCGCACTACGTAGCGCTTCTTTTTGCAGTCTATCAAAGCCTATTGGGGCCAAATCGCACAAAATCCGCTGAAAAAATAGGTCATGTTCGTGCGACAAGCTTGAGCTACAAGTTACAGGCGACATTGAGCTGTGAGATGTGAACAGCTCCATTGAAATGCATTGGACAAGCTACATTAAGCGAAATTGAGCGATATTTGAGCGACATTTGAGCGATTTGTGAGCTGAAATTGCGCTACAAATCGCTTAGTTTGAATGGGGTCTGAAAAAGCCTCAAAAATCACAACAAAGACTCGGAATTGTTTTCTTGTGTGTTTTCATTAGAAGGGTGGCAAGCTGCCTAGGTCTGCTCTTCGGAGGGAGAAGCCTGGATTTAACAGTCTGTTGTGAATTTCAAGGACACATTTCTCTTTAATGCCTAATAACTAGAGAGGTGAATGAGGGCTTGTTTTAAAAGGCTTTAACTGCTTGCTCAGAATATATAAATACATTAACATGCTTAATCTAGACACAGGTTCACGTTAAGACCACATTATGTTTACAATAAGCATGTTATATATGTACATCTCATCTGTTACAGTCTCAGAATTGTATTTTTCAAATGTTTTCTTACAATTCAGTATTAAGTCTCTCCAATATGGTAAATGTTTTTGCTAGAAAAAGAAACGGTAGGCTGTTATATTTTTCTTTTCTATATATAAATAATATATTTAATATATAAATGTAAATATATTTTTCTATATAAAAATATATATTCACAAATATATACTTTAAAATCATAAATTATCTCCTATTTTACTCCCCCTTTGTAAGCTTTCTGATATAAGCTATGAACCCAATCCATATCTTTTCCTCTGATAACATCTGATGCTTTGATATGTAAGAATAAAAGTAACTTACGTGCAGAAGGTTGACGATTATGACGATCAATCCAGCTGTTGTTGGGATTCACATGAGAACAAGGTTTATATAGAGGAACATCCGTGCTATAATGTGGTGACGTTTTACACAATAACAAGAAGGAGGATTCTTTTCTGTCTTAATGACAAATGACAGAGTTCAATAAAGAGTCATTTAGAATCTCACATAATGTGATTCATCCTAAAATACCCCCAGTAAGTCATCTATATTGGACCCATTTGCTGTATTTATGGAATGACCACTTACTAGTCCGTTCTAGAGAAGATTATTAGATTGTTTTCACTACCTGGATGTTGTCAACATCGGCTTAATGAATCTATTCATGCACTTAACTGATTTATTCAAATAGCGAGTCTTGAGATGTACAAATTGAAAAATATATCAGCCCAGCAGTATGTAAGTTCGGAGGCTTCCAACCCAGACTATCTCTACAGAGGATCCACCAGAACACACACAGTAACCCTTCTGTTCGCTGATGTCACAGGCTCAGCACTGCTACACTATGATTACTAAAGTATAAGAAATCATTGTCTATCATAAAATTCTTCATGTGGAAGCCATGTTTTCATGCATTGTCTTCTACTGTTATATCCCACTAATCCAAACGTGCGATCCACTTTGTAGTTAGATTATCCCCTGTGAATAACTGGCCAAAAAATGATCTGATGAAGATTTTTTTAAATAAATTTATTGAAGGCCGATCCAGACATTTGTGATGCCTTAATGCACATGTGTTAATGTACCTTATTTCAAGCAATAACGTATGTTGCGGTACGGTAGCCCATTCATTTTGAATGAACTGCCATGCACCACAATGCAGGACCTGCATAATTTTCTTCATCACATCTGTGCATTGGGGTGTGCTGAAACACAAATGCTTTGTAGTGCACTGGCAAGGTGCTTTGGGGTGCCAACAAACCACATAAAATTCTGTTCATTAGCCCCTGCCACGAAAAATGCATTAAAAAATGTGTTTTACTGCTCATTACTGTAATGCACATGTCTGAATCGAGTCCTTGGGTGCTCCCTGGTCTGAAATTGCCATTTTCGACCCTGAAAACATTTTTTTTGTCTTTTTTTATGGAAAAAACAACAACAAAGTTTAAGTCCTTGAGCACCATTCACACTTTTCAGGAGATTTTGAAAGTTTATTTTTGCATATATCAGGCTTAAGCATTTTTGTTTTAGCCAATGGAAAGCTAGTTACTAAGAGGAGGAGATCGTTGTTAGGCATGAAATCATGTGAAAAGATGCATGTTTTTCAGGTGTTTTTCAGACACATTGAAGTCTATTGGGCCAGAAATGCACAAGTCTGCTCAAAGAAAAGCTTCTTTTACTGTTTCAAGCTACAAGTGGCATGTGACTTGTAAAATGGCATCATTAGAAAATAATGGGATTCCTCATGTTGAACTTTGTTTGACATGCTAAGTTGTGAATGAGGGCCTATTATAGATCACATTACTTGCAAATTCTAAGCTTTTGAATGTGTCTGTAAAATGATTTATATATTAAAAAAAAAAAAAAGAATTTTAGGTTTTGTTTGTTGTGGCCTCTGCAACCATTCTAATATGAATGTAATACTGGTTGTGATGGTTGGTAATAATGGTTGAATGTATTAATGTATAATGAATGTATAATAGCAATTAAAGCGATTTATCAGCACATTGAGAACCCCCAACTATATTTTGATTTTAGTTCTAAATAATAAAATTCTAGCATCTCTGCTGTGCTGTATGTTTTAACTGCCTCCCGGCCAACCATTGTGAAAAAACGGCCGGCCAGGAGCTCTCTAGATCTGAGCGGGCGTCTTTAGACGTCCACTCAGCCACGCCCATGGGAAACACAATCATTTTAAAAACAGGCAGCGATGCCTGTTAACATACAAGCGATCCGCCGGGTATAGAGCAGGTCGTTTGTATGAGCTGCCGGCCGTGCCTCCCATTCTCCCCCCTCCCTCCCGCAGCACTAAATACTGAAAATTGGCCTGTCCAGGTAGGGGGTCTAAATACCTGGTCTTCAAGTGGTTAAAGCATATTTTATTTAATACTCTATTTTTTTTCACCGGAACCTAAAAAATCTATATGATAAGAATAGATCATTATTATTCATATGCTCTGATCTCTGCTAACACATGCTCAAAACAATACTCTCATCTTAAATTTCAACAGTCCACTTTTATGCCCCAGTCCAATTTCAGGAGTACTCTGGTAAATTTGCATCTCAGCAGGGAGTGTGCATGGCTTTGAGCATTTATTAGCAGCTCAGCAGCACTAAGTCCACATTTAAAGTAAAGCCTAGTGCAGGGACCTCACCATAAGCTCGAGTGTCCCTATTCCAAATTTAGTGGGAAACTAGGGTTTAGTCAACCTGAGCTCTGATTGTTGTTGTTTCTGCATTTGTTAGGGTTAGTTCTTCAGACTATGGTTTACTTCTGCCTGGTGATGGTGAGTGTTCATAAGCAGACAGAGCAAGAGATGGATGTTCT